GGAAGGAAGGAAGGAAGGAAGGAAGGAAGGAAGGAAGAAAGAAAGAAAGAAAGAAAGAAAGAAAGAAAGAAAGAAAGAAAGAAAGAAAGAAAAAGAAAGAAAGAAAAGAAAAGAAAAGAAAGAAAGAAAGAAGGAAAGAAAGAAAAAGAAAAAGAAAGAAAGATCAGAAAGGCTCTAAACTTTGGGAGAGATGGGGATAGGGTATAGAGATCACTTTAAAAAAAAATGAATGGCTTTGGTAGCCTGTCATCAACACTGTTGAAGGCTGGAAGAAAATAGAGCAACTACTTCAAAATTCTGGGCAAAAATTATTTTCAGTTCAATTCCCAAACAAAATAAATTCAAGACAATGGCAGAGATGTTTTTAGATAGACAAAATCCTCAAAATTTGCCTCCTGAACACACTTTCTCAGTAGTGGACACTGGAAAGATGGATCCCCGCCATCCCCCCACCCCCGGATAATTCAAGATAATCTCTCATTTAAACTCAGTTGGGATCAGCAACCTTAATTCTATCTTCAACTTTAATTTCCCTTTGTCATGTAACATGACATATTCATAGATTCCAGGGACTCGAATGTGGAAATCCTTGGAGGGCCATCTAGTCTTATCATCATTTAACATACCTAGGGACAGAAGGGACAATTCAGAAGGTAAATGGACTTCAGCTATCTTGCTAGTACTTCACTTGAGAGAGATTCCCACTTATGAACAGTAAGGTAACCAGCCACAAACGTAGACCAATGGGTTGTGGGCTTTCAAGGGGAAAAGCAGAGACAACTCTAGACCATGCACAAAAGAAAATTTTGTAGTGGAGAAGCTCAAAAGAATCCATATATTTGCCTAACCATCAAGAGTTAGACTGAATATTCTCTATAAAGCATAGATAGCCAATCAATGACAGTCAGAAAAGTGACAAAAACAAAAGCAAAACAAAATGATAAGAAGAGGATTGTGTCATCACACAGACAAATGCAGAGAGATTTGCCACTTTTCTTTGATCTGTATCCCAAGCCCAGAGGATTCAGAACTTTTACAAGATTTAGGAGTAAGAATCCTGTAAGAAGAACATATAACCACCAAGTTACTCAACTTTATCTCTGGAGAAGAACAGCTTTGAATTCATACAATATTGATGCTGTAGACTTGATTGGAATTTTAATAAACAAAAGTGCCTGGAAAATTTACAGACTCTGACAAAGATGCAATAAGAGATGGAAAAAGTAATTTATAGCATAGTAACTATTGAGGACAGTTGGTGAAAAAAAATTTAAGTTTCTCATATTTTTACCTCTGAGTCTATATTCTTCAACAACCTGTTACAAGTATACGAAAATCTGGAAAGCCAATTCAGTTTATATGTCACTTCGATTACATTAGCTCTGGGTAGTACAACAGAGAGGAACACGATGCCCCTCAAGTGAGATGAAGGACCATGTTCTTTCCTCAGGCTCTTATTTCCAGGAGCAGTTCTCTTTAAACTATATTCTCACTGTAAAATGAAAAAAAATTGGGCTCAAGTTTAAAGCGGTAAAATCATTTTTCATTTTCTAAGCAGTGATAGAATGACTAGTGCTGTTATAAATACAATGAGTTCATGCCTTCATGATATTAAAGTATATAAATGGAATCAACATTTTTCACTTCAGAGGTAAAAAAAGCAAATCACTTCCCTGATTCTTTCCTAAAAGGTAGGAAAGAATCAGAGAAGTGATTTGCTTTTGTAATACAAACTATTTGCTCTGCTGTCATATTCAGTCTCTTCACTCTTATTCATCCACCTCTTCAACCTCCTACAAAAGCCTTCAGGGACGGAGCAACATCTCAAAGAGTGATGGAGGGTATATAACATTTAGTGAGCTGTTTCAACTTTAGCAGTGGAGATTTACATGTTTTCCCCCTGAAAGACTATAGAATAATTTTTAACATTCAGAGCCTAAGACAGAAAAAACAATTACCAAGCCATTATGCAATCATAAAACAGTATACTCTATCGATTTTCTCTTTCTATGTTATACTCTCCATTCTCTTTCTCTTTTTCAATTTTTGCTCTGTGTAGGAGATACCTCTGTTATTCACCCTTGTTTGTTTCTCTTCTCCTTCTAGGCACATTGGAGAGCCAATGGACTGGAAGTGAAGTGATACATGTCATGTCTGTGTGGAGATATTTAAGTTGACAGTGCAAGACCCACCACACTCTCTTTCCCTGAAATTGTGAAAATGCATGTTGAGAAGGAGTTGCCAAAAGCTCAGAGCACCCTGGAGTGTCAAACAATGCCATTCAAGGCAGATACCCTGGAGAGTCACTTGAACCCTAAACTGGCCTCAAGTGAGCAAGAAATAAATTTTTGTCTGGTCACGGAGAGTTTAATTTTTTGTTGTTACTGTAGTATAACCTAGCCCATCCTGACTGATACACTCACTATGCATAACCTATTTCTCCGTTTTGATTTTCATTTTAGGCATTTTAGGTGGTAACAAGGTTTGAGGGAGGCACATGCCACACAATAGCATGAATACCCAATCACCCAATCATCACGTTTATGAACTACAAAAGGATCTACCCATAGGCCTTTCTTCACGTTACTAAATGTGCTTGATCAATCCTCAAATTTAAGTTTGTCAAACATACATATATGAAGAGGGAAAGGCATAAACACGATGAAGAACCAGTTTCTTTGGAATATAAAACTAGCAGGAATCTTGTTGATTCAGTTTGGACCACAAGTCCTCACTGGGTGATATGGTAAGTATTTCGCTACCATTTCTTGAGAAAGATGCCTTCCTATGACTGACAATTCAAGGTACGTTTATGGAAAAAGCACACCCACTGGAACCAGAGAAACTCGGTTTTTTATTCAATTCCACTACCACAAGTTCTTTGATTCTGAATAATGGTAAATTCTTGCCGCCTTGGCAAACATCTGCAAAATGGGGGAATGATGTATCAAATTTGTAGGGTTTGGGAGTGATTAAAGATAATGCAGGCCAGAATATTTAGCACAGAGTTAATAGTCAAGAGGATAAACATTACTGTCATTATCTGTTTTCTTCTAAGATTTTTGGAAATCTACCAGGTGCTAGGGGCCTCAGGGAAGAAAACAAGGTTCCTAATGATATCCCCTTGTTCTCTAGTTTTGATGTCTCCTTCTGTTCAACTCTGCTATGCTGATTTCCCAAATCTTTGCAGGGATTAGTTCCAAATATATCTACTAAGGTAACTGAAGAGAAACACCAGCCAGTACAGCAGTCCCCCCTTATCTGTGGGGGATACAGTCCAAGGCCCCCGGTGGGGGCCTGGATAGCGTTGAACCCTATATATACTATGCTTTTTCCTATATATACACACCTGTGATAAAGTTTATTTTATAAATTAGGCCCAGTAAGAGAGTAACAACAAGTAATAATAAAATAGAAAAACGATAACAGACTGTAATAAAAGTTATGTGAATGTGGCCTCGCTCTCTTAAAATATCTCATTGCGCTGTACTCACCCTTCTTCCCGGGATGAAACGAGTTGATAGAACGCCTCCGCGAGACTAAGCGAGGTAATGACGTAGCATTCTGACGTAAAGTTAGGCTTCTTTTGACGTTCTGCCGATTCGTCAGGAGGATCATCCATCTGTTTCTGCACCACGGTTGGTGGGTGGGAACTGAAACTCCAGAAAGAGAAACTGCAGTTGGGGGGGAGGGGGGAGTTACGGTATTCTTCTCCGGCTAATAATAGTTTTCTTTTCTTTCTTTTTTTTTTTAAGATTTTATTTATTTATTTGAGAGAGAGAAAGAGAGCGGGGGCGCGGTGTGGGGAGGATAAAGGGAGAAGCAGATTTCCCATGGAGCAGGGACCCCAACCCAGAACTCGATCCCAGGACCTTGGAATCATGACCTGAGCTGAACGCAGAGACGCTCAACCGACTGAGCCACCCAGGTGCCCTAATAATAGTCTTCTTTGGGCAAACAGAATTCCTGAAATGGCACGTATTGCTCACACCACACGTTTTGTTCATGTTATTGACATTTGACTTGGGGCAAGCTTTGTAGAGTGTACTATGTATCAGGAAAGCAAGGTGGGAACATGTTTCCAACCATGTAAGGCACCAGTCTGAGTTTGGGAAGGGATTACTTGGCATAGAATCTCTCGATTGTATTCAGGGAGAGGCAGTGTAGTTTAATAATGAAGTATATGGGTTCATGCCCGAGGTCTGCCACTTATAATCTATGTGATTGGACAAATAATTTTGCCTCCGTTTTTTAAATGAGACTGGGAAAATGGTAATGTTACACACATCATTTGCTGGAAGATTAAACAGTTTTATATACAGCACCTTTAGAATAATGCTTGGTACCCAATAGGTACTATGTTAGTGTTAGTATAATCACTATTGTGCTAGAAGGAGTTTCAGTAGAGGGTTGATCATAGTTTTCTAGAACTTTGATTTATGTTTACACCAGCTTCTCAACTGTACATTATCTGTTTGAGTTATATCCTTTCTTATGAGAGTAATGAGAGAATCCTCTAGGGCTATGGGCCTCCTCAGCTTCTCTTCCTATTTCAAAGAACAGAAGAAGCTGTCTAGAAAAAATGCAAGTAAAAGTGGATGCCAAAGTATCGGGCATGGCCAATGGCAAATGCCAGGGTTTTGCAACAGCCCAGAAATACAGATATTTCTTAACTCTTCAAACTTAAAATAACTAAAGGCCAAATACTGCTGCTGGAAACATCAGGGAAAATTTGAAGTTCCCAGGCCTGGCTGGTCTTTTGCCTGAATGGAATCAGCAGAGGAGGAGTTAATTGTGAAGGAGGAGGACAGAATAAGATTATAATAGGCTAGGAATGCACTGGAGGTTTGTTCTAGGCCTTCTAGCCACGCTGTCAGTTGAAGAACAAAAACTACCATGTAAGTTCTAAGTCAAGGCAAATATGTTTTGCATAGTCTAAGTCTGTCATCAAGGAGAGGGGATGCCTCCTTAGTCTGAGGGTCTAGGTTAGTGACCAGTAACTGACAAGGGAACATCAAGGAGCTCTCTGGAGCCTTGTTATAAGCAGGCATGAGAAGTAGCTGATAGAACTGACCCAAGAGCTGCCCTTCTTTGATAAATTAGTTCGCATACTTAAACATTTATTAATCCCTGAATATATGCCAGGCCCACTGATTATGTGAAGAAACAATGATAGAAACAGAATGGAATTTAAGAGCAAGCTGTGGAACTTAGGGACTGATTAGATTTGAGTGGTGGGGAAGAACAGCTAGGGAGACTTTTCAGGTTTTGAGGATTCTAGAAAATAACCATTTTGGGAGGAATGATGAGTTTTTAGTTTGGGGTGCACTGTAATTGCAAGGCTATTAGAATGGGATTTTTTAGCTTTTAAAGACCACTATAAATGGAATAAGGAAGGCAGAAACCTAATGTTAGTGCTTCAAGAGAAATTGGAAGGTAAGGAAATGGAGATAATGATTATGGTCTATTCTTACAAGACAATCGTGAAGGAAGACACACCTGGTACTATAATTAGATAATGAGACATGCGGTAAAGAGAAGAATTTTTTTTTTAACTGGAAAAAAAATGGTTTAATAGCCTGATGAAGAGAATAAATTGGGAGAGAGAGATTCAAAGAAATGATGGATCATTGGCCCCAGAAGAGTTGGGATTCAGATCAAGTTTATAAAGAGAAGGAAAATCTCATTATTTGGGATTAGAGGAAAGCAAAATCTCTTTCTTCAAGGGAATGGAAAAGGGGCACCTGGGTGGTTCAGTTGTTAAGCGTCTGCCTTCGGCTCAGGTCATGATCTCAGGGTCCTGGGATCAAGCCCCGCATCGAGCCCCGCATCGGGCTCCCTGCTCGAGCCAGGAAACCTGCTTCCCCCTCTCCCACGCCCCCTGCTTGTGTTCCCTCTCCCTCGCTGTTTCTCTGTCAAATAAATGAATAAAATCTTTTTAAAAAAGGGGGGGGGAAGGGAAGAGATTTGTTCTGGATGCCTAAAATCAAATGAGGGCAGTTATAGAGAGATCATATTTTGGCTAAAAATAAAGACAAACAAAGTGGTTTTTAATGTCAAAAGTATAATGGATCATCTAGAGTGGTTTTACATTATTTTTGACTGGAGATAGGCAAGAAACAGCTAAATGACCAGTTATCAGAAATGTTTATACCTTTGAAATACAGCAGCTCATTTGAATGACCCAGTCCAGTGCTGATTTTCTGATTTGCAGAACTTGTTTTACACGTTTGCTTTCTACTCTAACACCATCTTGGACATTTTTCAAAGACCCAGAGAGCAGACAAATATTGATTTTAAATTAAGCTTGTTGGAAGACTTGAAATCCCATGCTTGTCTCTGGTAGAAGAGGGAGAAGTGCATTTTCACCATTAAATGGCAAGGAAATCAAAGTAGCATTTAGGTTTATTAAACCTAAATTCGGCCATCTGGATCTTTGTAATGCAATACAAATTTGAAGACACATGCCCTTGGAACTTATTTGAATAATGGAGTTCAGATCATGTTGTTGGAGTAAAAGAGAAATATGATTATTCTCTTTCATAATAGGGATGGTTGTGAGGTAGGAAGAAGGGAGCCAGATCTGTAGATGTTGAAATATCAGTCATTATCTTATGACCAGCACAATGTAGAAGAGGAATCACCTCTTCTAAAGAATACAATTCTCTTACTACAACTAACAATTATCTTAACACAACCAACAATTAACAATATAGCACATTTCTGACTTCCATTTAAGCAATATTCATCCACAAATAGTTTTCGAAGTGTATGGTTATGTTTTGATTATAATTTTAATTTTAAGCTATTTTAAAATGAAAACATATAAAATATGAAAAAATAATATTCTACTAATATACACAGGAAGAATTATGCTGAATCTTGTATTGCTAAATATTCCTGACATGGACAAAAAAATGATTCCTACCTTTTTGTATTTTTTAACACAATTTTAATCACTGAATTATATACTTTGCATACAATAAGATTAAGTTATTTTATAGTCGATCATAGCAAGACACTAAAAGGCAAAGCATGTAATATACCATGGTTTTCTCTTACTCATAGTTACGCTTCTTTCAAACGGACTCAGACTACCACATCACACTCAGCTCTGGACTTATCATTGAGTAGCCTCCCACCAGTTTTAGGCCTAAGAAAAGGCAGTAATAGGCCATCTAACTAAACTCCTGAGAGTCACTGGGCAGGTAGAAATAATTGCTCTTTAGGTAGAAAGTACTAGTAGGACAAATCCAAGTAAAAGGGTTGACTATGTTGCAGAAAGTAAAATTACTCTCAACTCTTTTCAGAAATTTCACTATAAGGTGCCATAAGTAGATGCCATGGTGTCAATCAGAGTGAACAAAATTTGTTAAGATACCAAACACAAGATATTTCTATCCTCACAATCTAAAACACTGGGTTTCAAGTAACAAGATCATCTTCTGACAAACATCTTATAATTCCAAAAACTGTCTTTTGCTTCTAAACAAATAACAATTACTTTCTCAAACTGTAAATATTTAAGCAATCCAACTTAATGACGTCTACTCAAATATA